TGTTATTATTCGGAAAACCATCCAAAAGACAATCAGGGAAATCAAGAAATGTTAGCCGAAAAAAAAAAGTTGCGTTTCATGTCTCTTTTTCCTTCTTTTTTTCATTTTCTAAAAATTATTTGGCAAGAAATTGTGAGCTTTTATTCCATGGGGAAACATGTTATAAGTTATAGCTTGTAGAAAAGAAGATTGATTTCAGGATTCAGTAAATGACAGGCCTAGTTACGAAGCGACGCACCATTTTTTCCTGCTGGAATTATTTTGGAATGCAACTCCCCAGAGGGATTATTAGTGGATCAAAGATTGTTGAAAAACAGTTTCTGGACGTCTCATACTTATCAATCATACACACTAAGTACACTGAAACTACAGGAATGCGATAAAAGTGACTCATATAACGTCATTAAGCATTAAGAAATTTACCAGCACGGGATTTTTGCTTGTGTAGATGCATGACTTTACAAGATCAGCAGCTGCTGATCAGGCTGACATTGGTTCGCATCACCTGAGCTTAGCCGGACAAAAACGTGGGCAGTCTCATCTTGAAATGCTTGGAGACTTCAAGTTTGTATTCTGTTGTATCTCGACACTGCCTAGTTTGTTGCCACTCCTACACTATGATGAGGTGCCTGGATCAGAATTAAAAAATCGAAATATTTGGAAATACGGTATGTCTCTTCGTAACTCTGGACCCATCGTTTGCTAAATCCTGAAATCAGTCCTTTTCTATCGGCCATAACTAATAGCAGCTTCCCACAGGATGAAAATTCAGATTTTCTTGCTACCGATGTGTTGGAGCATCACTAACATGAGATATCCACAGTGATAGCCTGAGCGGTGTTGGCATCTTTACTTATAAAGTTCTGAAGTTAGATTTCTCATGCTTAAATACACTTACTCAAGCTTCTAAAGTATTTTTGTAGCTGAATTTGCACTTTTTGACTCAATTTTTCGACTTTCTCTGCAAATTATTTTTGAATTTTCCATGATAAAAGAGAAAAGGACTCATCTCCTGCCTTTTTTGCCACGCACAAATATCACTAGCATTATTACTTGCATATATGATCCTCAATAATTTTTTCACACGGCTGGCAGATCACCTGGCAGCAGTAGTGAAATTTACAGTTACACCGATCGATCACTTTACGTACCCGCGTATCGAATCCACGATAACAACACAGCTGCAAAATTTAGCATTATTTGGCGTTTTTCAATAAAAATTACTTGTGTATAGAACCCAGGATCGAAGGATCTGCTAGAGCTGCGCCGTACGCTTAGGAACATCCCAGTACCATCATTGGTATGTGATGCAATATTGATTATCCGAGGATATAGCAATATTTTTACTGGACATACAACAATCGGACACCTATGCCACCGAATGAAGCAATTTTTATTTCCCTAGGTCCCCTTCCAATATATCATTTTGTCCGGGTAATCTTGATATTCTTGGTTCTTAGGATTTTTTCCGAGTATTCTTGGTATTTTGATCTCCTCAATTTTTGAAAATTAATACAAAAGATAATTAGCTTGGAGTGTGAATGTATTTAGGGTAGCAAAACGGTCGACAGTTTATCTCATTTTTTTAATGATTCACTGCAAGCAAACTGTGGTTGAAAAGACAAATGCTTTTGCGGCCAAACACTAAGTTTATGGGAAAAAAACAATTATTGATAAGAGAAAAGGGCAGCATTCCTTGGTGTAATGTGGAGCCAAATAATACATTAATAGGAGAGATTATGACTTAATCACTAAGTTTTTTTACTTACTCTTTGTCTGATACTTTTCATGATCGATATAATAAAAAAATTATAAATTTTGATGATAAATTTGAACAAGCTTAAATTTGTTTGTTAAAACACAGAATCACGAGAAGCAATTAAAGAGAAATTTTTTTGAAGGGACTTTACTGAAAACCCGGAAAATGTGAAGGAAAACATTAAAAAGCATTTAACCTATCTTTAATTGCCAAAAATAACAAGAACACCCCGACAAACACTTTGTCGACTACATGATAGCTAGGAAAACAGATGTGAAAACTAACTGGACATATGCAAATTTCACTATCGAATTTGCGCTGGATACTTGAAAGCATCTCAGCAACATCACTAACATGGGACACCTACATCGACTATCCGATGTCTTAGAAACCTCATTAATTTGCAACCAGTCATTATAAGAACACAGGGCATATTGATTAGCGTATCATTTAAAACATTTTATAAGTCACAAAACTTTCGAAAAATGAGAAATTCAAAAATTGGGATATGTGAAAAAAAGCGAAAGTCAAGCAAATTTTCAAAAATTCTTTGCCCTACGGTTTGGATACAAGTTTGAGGCCCTTAACAACGAAATGCAAATCGGGCCTGCAAATTTCTCAAGAAACTCTTTCATACAGCCAGGATGAAGAGAATTACGCTATTTCCACAAAACTCACAATTTCTGCAGAAAAACTTGTGACATGTTCCAAAATGCAACTAACCAAATCGCAACCATCGATACCATGCGAAGAGATATTACAGTGGCGACCATGTGTGCCGAGAATACCACGCTCCGGATCCGACTCACAGTAATCCGGAGATGCTTCCAAATAAACCTATAAACAAGGACTGCGCTGAAATTGAAGAAAGATTCAGCATCCTGTGATTTTTTAAAATTTTCAAATTGCAATTTCTTGATTAATTTATGAAAACTATGATAATTTTCTAATTTTAATGAATCCGAATACGAAGGTTTGATACCGTAGCACATTAAATAACAAAATTTGCGTAATAGCACTGTAATTTGCAATTACCAAAATGCCCCAGCTCAACCGTGCAAAATGCACTCGTTTGTGGGTTTGAGCATTAAGACCAACCGAAGCTTAACCGGCACTAATCAAGTGATAGGAGAGTGGTGTGTGGTGCCCATACATAAACCGAAATACGGTACAAGTAGCGTCCGTTTTGTAAACGAAAACTTGGGACGAGCAATCAGATTACTGTAGAACCAAGATTATCAAGACTGCCCGAACAGTCGGTGTGGGATATCCCATGTTAGTGATGTTACTAAGACGCTCTCAAGCGCCAAGCGCATCTGTGTCAAGCCCTTCAATTCCGAGCATAGAACCGAGTGACCTGCC